AAAAAAAAAAACAGAAAAAGTAATTACAAAAACAAAAAAAAAAATCAAAACATTCTCGTTGCATATATATTTTTTTAGGCTTTACAACGCGGGTTAGCAAAAAATGGTAAAGCGGAAAATAAAGCCAGAACAGTGATTGAAGGCAGCTATCAAACCACCACAGTATTACCGGAAAAACAGATTGAACAAACCAAAAAAGTTTGCAATAAATACGTTGCAGTTACATTTAAAAAAAAATCAACAAGTTATAGCTGAAGAAACAACTTTTACAAGAAAAGTTGACCATTGAAAGAATTATTAAAAATTGAAGTGAAAGGGTAAAAAGAGCTGTAAGTAAGTACACCTAAAAATGATACAAATCTAAGCAATCAGTTAAGAACTGTTTATTGTAGTTCCAGCATTCTATTGATGAAGCAGGTGTCAGTGAAGTTAAGGAATCAAGCAGTGAGGAAAAAAAAGAAAGATTCCGTGAACATTTGACATCCAATACACATTTGACTGTTGATGAAGATGAACTTAACGGTAGCTCATATCCTGCTTATGAAACCATAACAGATACTGACTCACGTAATATTCTTATACTTGCCCTCTTAACTGTTCTTTTTTGTTAACATCTGAATGCTTCTAATCCCTATGATTATTAGCCTTGACAAAAAGGAAACAATTGTTGTTCAACCATTAGATTAACATTATACTAATATGCCAATTAAAAAAGTTGGTGGTGGTGGTAATATGCACTTTAGATGGTTCTTCACAAAACTATCAAGCTGTTGAACAAGCCGAATACGATCGGCTTATCCAGGGTTTGAAGAACGCTGACAGTGATCTGGAATTTTTGTCTGAACCAACAGATTTGACCAGTCGACCAACAGAACCGGCGACAGCTGAATTGGTTCAAGAAACTACAACAATATCGACGACAACAGCAGCAACGACAACTGTGCCAACATCGGTAGAAACAGTTGCGACAGTGGCACCAAGTCTGTAGTTTTTCAAAGATTCCGATGCTTCGTTAAAGCTGTTTAATAAAAAAAACTGTCATCTATCTTTTAAATAT